CCACAGTACTTCTCCACTGGAGGGCTATTGCCAAGCGAATGAACGGAAAATGGACTTAATTTTCTCCGCGCTCCTTACCACCGCCCAGCTCTATACATGCACATGGAGTGGAGTGGAGCAGAATTGTCTGACACATCATGTCCCAGAATACTTAGCATTCTTGTGAAGGCACACTGAAGTAGTGTTCTTGAGGCATTGACCAAGTGCACGTGCTGATTGTCAGTGAACGTCAGTATGTTATACTCGACGGTATACATTGTGCATCTATTACTTAAGTATTAGTACTACATGTAGTAGTCTAGAGTAGTCTAGAGTAGGTTAGAGGAATGCCAAGCATAGTGTATACCAGGTACATTGTCATTGTATGCCTGGTTTCGTGTACGTGATTTGATTGCTGCAATAGTCCCGACTGGTTCAGTAAGTCGGTTGCAAATCTTTGTTCATTCCTAGAGTCGGTGTTGGTTCGCAGGTATAATTATGTAAATGACATTGTGCATTCAGCGGGCTTTTAACGAAAATACACCCAGCGGGTGGGCGACAGAGTACTGTACTCAAATATTCACATTGCAGGATGATATCCAGCCATCCTGTGTATGTGCGTGATGTGTTCTGGGATTATCCACGTAAGCCTGTGTGGATGGTTTCTGGAATCTACTTGTACGTGTACATGTGGATGTAGATGGAGTGAAGGTCCATTGCTAAAACACCAGTTTTCAACCATCACTACCACCACCATCATCACCACCCACCACCACCACCACCACCACCATCATCACCACCACCACCACCACCACCACCACCACCACCACCACCACCACCACCACCACCACCACCACCACCACCACCACCACCACCACCACCACCACCACCACCACCACCACCACCACCACCACCACCACCACCACCACCACCACCACCACCACCACCACCACCACCACCACCACCACCACCACCACCACCACCACCACCACCACCACCACCACCACCACCACCACCACCACCACCACCACCACCACCACCACCACCACCACCACCACCACCACCACCACCACCACCACCACCACCACCACCATCACCACCATCACAACCACCACCACCACCACCACCACCATCACCACCACCATCACCACCACCACCACCACCACCACCACCACCACCACCACCACCACCACCACCACCACCACCACCACCACCACTACCACCATCACAACCACCACCACCATCACCACCACCACCACCATCACCACCCGGCCACCATCACCATCACCACCACCACCACCACCACCACCGTCCGTCACCAATCCAGTAATAAGTGACAAGTCACACAAGTTCAACATTAGAATAGAACTAGTCCATTGCGTCGCATGGATTTATCTGAAGGGTGGCCAGTTCAGATTGGGTTCCAACGGTGATTGTTACCTCATCTACATGTACATAGGCTAGGCTAGGGTAATGTACCGAGCCTGTACCAACAGCAGCTGTATTCCCACCGGTCCCTACAGATACAGCACCACAGCCACATCATACAGTGCTGGCAACTGCAATCCGACCCCCTGAGGGGTGCGTCCACATTCTGTTTCGTAGTTTTACAATTCCGTGTTGGGTCTTGGCGATGTGAACACACCACTCAGGGTCGGATTTCAGTTGCCGGCATTGTAGATGACTGTACAATAGCAACAGCTACAAAAAAAGGCACAATACCAAGTTACCAACACCTACATGACTGTACAAGTAGATGTGCTTAGGACGTTGCTTTGTCTTTGAGTAGAGCACCGGGTTTTAAAAACTTCTAATAAACAGGGGTTGTATCTTGGCATATTCACCATACCATGTTTAGCGCTAAGTGTTTACAACACTGTCATTAGAACGTTAGTTTCGTCTTTCTCTTATGCAAACTACATGTACGTGTAGGTCGCATCGGCCAAGGCAAACCACAACAATGGCTGCACACAGCGGGTGGACATGACGTGTAAGGTGTCCTGTCTGTCTGGGACACGGTACCAGTCCTGATTTAGGTTACAGATGGATTGGATTGGCCGGCCCCAGCTCTGCGGGAGTGCAGGGGCAAAGTGCGAACTACACGAAGCTGGGAATTTTATTTTTCCTTCCACACCACACGCACGGTCCAATATTTGTACGTGTAGTTTACATCACGTGGTTTATTCGAGCACAATGATAATGCATGTTCGCATTGTGCACCGTCCATGCAACTTAGCCACTTATACAGAATGCAATTTTCGTGAAATCCCACATAATGTACATAAGAATGGTGCTGGAAGTAAACCTCGTTTCACCCGCTGTGTACCTATGGTAATACTATTAATTGTATACATGCAAGTCATGCAGCTGGCCAGTGGCTATTGTTGAGGCTCGTCCAGCAGAACTTTTATTCTGTACACGACTGTGTACATGTACATGTACATGTAGTACTACCAGGAATCCAGGATAGAGGGCTGCTCCTCCCATAAGGATCACGTTCATTGCGGTCAACGTGCTCGAATCTTAGACTGACGGATTGCCATATTGCGTCCGAATAAAGAGCTTGTAGTTGTGGGAATGTCTGTGACAACTGACCAGATGTACCTAAACCCTAGCATTGAGAGACTACGATGCATATGGGCATGTGCACAGCGCACTGACAACATGCACTGACCGTGTAACACTGTAACACTGTAACACTGTAACACTCCCCCACCACCAAATCCACCCTACAGTCATAAACATGTGCTTTCTTATCTTCCTACATTAATTAACAGTGCATGTCATACATGTACGTTTACTATTGGCGACCAGAGATCATGGGTACGGGAGATAGTGCATGGACGTAACCATGGTAACATTATTTTGCCGCGGGGCCTGCATTGTCATCATCAAGATCGAATTGAGTAGTATACAAGTTGTGTAGAACTATCGGTCGAGGACATCTGGAACCATTGTCGCCATTCATAGCACAGGGGTATGCACAAGGGCCATCTTGCGCGAACAACTCATAACCGGATGTAATAGCTGAGTGCGTTGTTACTCCCTTCTCTACCTTTTGTCTAGCATGTGCTCAAAATAGATGAAAATTATCAGACCTGGTTTTTCAGACGTTATCGCTCAGCGGCAAGATGGAGCTGCTTGATGCTCTCTCCTGCAAGATAATCAGTCGGAATAAAGTACAGGCATGTACATGTACATGTACATGTACAATGTACCTCTTTTCCCTAGTATCCAGAGCACATCAAAGTGAAAACGGGCGCCTTTCGATGGGCACTAGCAAGAGTACATTGCACGCAACCCAGGCAACACAATAGCTAGAATTCATTCCTTTGCAACTGCCAGTTTCAAACCTTCATGAAACGTTATAATGATTATGTTATTGCTACCTCGTGCAATCATCTGAGAGATTCTTGCAGGCGTCGACTAACAATATGTACATGTAAGAATTTATTTATTTTATTTATTTATTACAGCATCTCATAGCACAGTAAGAACACCGGCCAATACAAAGAGAGAGGGTGTTAGCCAACCAGAAACAGAGCATACGTTACAGTGACTTGCTAGTTGTTACCAGCTTCATTGGTTCATTTGACGCAGAGTGAGAGCGAATGCATTTTGAGTTTTTTTAAAAGAAGAAGAAGAAGGAAAGTAATTCGCACCAAAAAAACTGGTGGGTAAAAAACCGTCAAGAAGAAGAAGAAGAAGATACGTACGTGTACGTATATAATAGCTTTAGACCAGTCTAAACCAGTCTAAACCAGTCTAAACCAGTCTAAATCACACTAACGTGTTATTTACAGAGAAGAAAAAGGACCAAGAAAGTACAAGTTACTCTAATAAAATTTAATAAATAATAATATTATTTGAAACTCGGATGTTGAGCCATAAATAAATGTAGAAGAGAAAAGGACATATGGATACGAGTTAAGAGTAACTATCCATCACTGTAACATGATACTATATACAGTCAGAAATTGCAATAACTAGGCACAAAACTGACAGAGTACTGAAACATTCGACGTCCTGACACCTAGCTTCAACACATCTCCGTAGCGCTAACCGACAGCCTTCCAACTTGGAAGGTTCAAGGTTATGGAAAGACCAAAGAGGGGAAGGCAAGCCCAACGAAAACGAGCAAAAGCTACAGCCCCAACGGAACAAAGAACTCGTATCCATATGTCCTTTTATCCATATGTCCTTTTCTCTTCTACATTTATTTATGGCTCAACATCCGAGTTTCAAATTGCACACCTGATGAGCCGTCACGAACCATACGGCGAAACGTACGTCGTGTGAAACAACTTGTTTTGTAGTCAACTAGTCCATCACAATGTCATGCATGAGGAGTACTGTAGGAGTTTGGCTTTCGGCTTGTACAATTCGTTTTCGCAAAGCTTCCCTTTCTTTACTTATCTTTGATATTTATGACCCACCCAAGCTGGGTGGTGTGCTGCTTTGCTGCTTCGAATTGTAGTTAGACCGCTTTGTCAAATATCGTACTGGTCTCGTCATCGTCCAGTAACAATCGACATTCTTTGTTCCGTTGGGACTGCAGCTTTTGCTCGTTTTCGTTGCGCTTGCCTTCCCCTCTTTGGTCTTTCCATAACCTTGAACCTTCCAAGTTGGAAGGCTGTCGGTTAGCGCTACGGAGATGTGTTGAAGCTAGGTGTCAGGACGTCGAATGTTTCAGTACTCTGTCAGTTTTGTGCCTAGTTATTGCACTTTCTGACTTTATATAGTATCATGTTACAGTGATGGATAGTTACTCTTAACTCGTATCCATATGTCCTTTTCTCTACTACAATAATATTATTAGAGATATAACACTAAGATCAACAACAGTGAAATTTACAAGTGTGAATTTTAACGATCCTCCTTTCTCCTTTGTTCATTTCTCGCTTTGATTGTTAAAATTCACACTTGTAAATTTCACTGTTGTTGCTCTTAGTGTTATATCTCTAACTTAGATTTTCTATAATAGTTCAATTTTTGTTTCAAATTATATTGATGACATCATTATGCTGTGGACACTGGGGGCCGCGCTTCTCCGCCAGCTGATTGCATTCTTCAATACCGCCAATGCGAGCATCAAGTTCACGTATCAATCTTCGGAGGAAACTGGGTCGGTTGACTTTATGGACACGACTATTCATGTCTCCTCCGAGGGCGCAATATCATTCGAGCTGTTCCGCAAAGCTTGCCACAGTGGCCTCGTCTCAGACTTCAACTCGTGCGTTCCGCAACAGCAAAAACTCGCCATCGCGTCTTCGGAATTCCTCCGCGCGGCCCGCCTTTCCTCTGATCCTGCAGCCCGCCAGCGAAGTGAGCAAAAGGTTATTGACACATTAAAATTCAACAACTTTCCTGACAAAGTGATCGCGACTGCTCATGAACGAGCCAGACGACCTGCTAAACAAAAGAAAGACTATCGATCCACGTTGAAGTTACCATTCAAAACGGATGCCATCCACTACAGGGTCCACCGTCTTCTAAACAAATACAATCTAAATGTACAGATAATCTACAAGAATGCAAGGCTTTCCAACAGCGTCACTAAGTCCAGCCTCACTGGACCTTGCTGCCGTAAGTGGGTGGATCCCGCTGCCCCGAGGCGACGAGGAAGGCCTAAAGCCGCCTGCGTTGCATGCCAATCGAGCGAGGTAGAATGCACAAGACGCAACGTGGTTTATCGTCTGACCTGCAAGTGCTCGGAGAAGTATGTTGGAGAGACTGGCCGCAGTGTAGCAACGCGAACAAAAGAACACAATGATAACTCACGCAACAAGACGTCTGGAAAAGCCCTGGGCGAGCACTACCGACTTCACCATGGCGACGAGGTACTGCCGCTTGGCGAGTCGGCATTCACAGAGGTTCGCGTCCTTGCCACTGAGTCGGATCGGGCCAGGAGGAGAATACGCGAAGCAATACAAATTCGCGACACGAGCCCCAGCATAAACAATAACGCAGGGTGGGACCTCCTGTGAATTCTCTGGTGAAGCCTTGTACATATGTCTGGCCCTGATACTCGCTCTTCCTGGATGGTGGTGGTTTAGCACCCCTTGAACTAGTGCACTGTTACTACTACTGTTGTTGCTAGCGCCTGCAATTACATGTCTGCACGCACCTAGTGCACATGTACATTCTGTTTGTTGCTTGTACCTGTGCCATTTTTAGAGTTGTCGCGTATTGCGTTATTTCTATACCTGGGGTTTTTTTGGTGATGTTTTGTCCTTTTGTTCTCTCTCTCGTCATAGTGCATGCAGGTGTGATTTGTTATCAGTTTGCAGCGCTCCTCGTATATTAACCCATCCTAACCGGTGTGCCCACTTCATTCCTGATGATGGTTATTTCATGACCGAAACGTTGAAATATAATATTTTTCTGGTGAAAAGCAGTTATTTGAGTGTGAGCCAGTGTTGCTCACAACCAATTTTTTAATAATATTATTATTTATTAAATTTCATTAGAGTAACTTGTACTTTCTTGGTCCTTTTTCTTCTCTGTAAATAACACGTAACAGTAAAATGTCCACTAACACCACCAGTTACTAGGCAATCAGCTAATGCGATAACATTGCACGACACTGACCGACGGTACTGACGTTCTACAACTAACTGGCTATCAGCTCCAGCACGTCTTGGGTGCGCACTCCAACAACCTTCCAACTTGGAAGGTTCTAAGTTATAAAATAGGAGGGGTAGGTGAGCGTAACCAAGACAAACACGAGCTGAAAGTCTCAGCTGTGAAGGACGTTGGCGGATGTACATGCATGTCGATGACGATACTGGCAGGACCATTGGATAATACGGTCAAACCACGATTCAAGGACGCAAAGCAACATTCCACACAACTTTCTTGCACACCTAACGTGTTAACTTATTCATCATAATTTATTACCGATCACAGTGGTAGCAGATAACGCTATTTCAACTCATTCGTTTTCATGTCGAATGTACATGTACATGTAGTGCTTGCCAAGATACGAATCTGAATGCAAACGATCATAATGGTGCCAATCTTGAGGAAGTCACATGTTTAGATCTGCTGTGACAATGTGACTGACAAGCATACCCCTGCAGTACCCTCCTTTGGGTAGTCTGCGAAATCAAATCATCCTTGAAAAGAATACGGTCGTTTGGAGAGAGATAGAGAGATAGGCACATGCAAACGTTGCATATTGTCGGCGAAGACTCACGGGATTCCCATTAGCAGATCGGATGCAAATGTGCATGACATCATGTACATGTGCATCTCTTCAGGTCGGCGAGTTACTGCGTTGGGGCCACTATTGCTTCCACACACTGCCTTTCCACACAATCATCCAGCACTATTTCCAGACCCTACACGTGTTGTCCTTGGAGACGGTTGCCAGGTACTGTCCGGACGGACTGAATGTACAGGCCAGGATTTCGGCAGTGTGTCCGGCCAGCACCTTGACAGCTTTGCCGCCCACGCTGCGCGGGTTCCACAGGCGCCCATGTGTGTCCTTACTACAGCTGGCCATCACGGTGCCGGAGCTGTTGAAATCACACCCGGTCACGTGATCGGAATGACCACCCAGGCTGTTGACCACCTCTTCGCTGTTCACGTTCCAGATCCGTACCATGCTGTCTTTGGACGCCACGCACAGGTAAATACCGTCGGGCGAGTAGGCCACTGAGCAAGGCCCTAGGGGATCTTTGAGCTCGGTAATCATCCGACCCGAGCGGCGATTCCACAGTCGTATCGTACAGTCCGAAGAGCACGTACCCACTGCTACATCGTCCGGCGAGAAGCACACATCCACCACGGGACCCGTGTGACCACGCAGCAAGCTACCAGGCGGTCCACTGTGCCTCTCCGATGCCCAGACGTGCGCGGTCTTGTCCTCGGAGCCGGTAGCGATATGCTGTTGATCATGCGATACGGCACACGCCAGTACCGAGCTCTCGTGATTGCTGTATCGCTTGCTAACGCTCCACGTCTTACACTGCCAGACCAGTGCGCAGCCATCTTTGGACGTGGTCACCACGGCAACACTCCCAATGAAAGCACATCCGGTGACGTCATTTGAATGGCCTACCAGCTTAGCGATTGGCTTGGCGTTGGATAGTGACCAGACAATGACCTTTGTATCGGCCGAGCCGGTAACAAGCAGCTTCTCGTCGGCAGAGAATCCACAGCATAGCACCGGCTGTTTGTGCTCGGCGAACGAAAGGGAGAGATCCCCACAGATGGTGACCGGCGCAATCTGTGGAACGCCTGATCCGCGTCTACCGGACTTTGGCGTTCCGCTACTGCCCTGTCCCATAGTCCGGCCGTGCAGTGAACACTAAAGCAGGATGCTATCAAGAACGATGATGTGAGGTGGTACAGGGCCTGGGTACAGGTAAATGTGCTGTAATGTTACAGCATACACCTCAGGCGAAGGTGGAGAATGTCGGGTGCGCCTGTTTACTGGAGCGCGGACTACTGCAAGCACTGGTTCATTTGATACTCCTGGGGAAACGACAACAATTTACAAAGGTCCTGGACCTGGTGCAGTCCAGCAGGCAGAGCCAGACTGTGGAAATCAATGGCAATGATCACTTGCCCATCACAGAAGTTCACTTGACTGAAAACGAACAACAGTAAGATAGTGTTCAGTCCTGACTGGAAAGACGGTGACGCCTGCGACATACAAACCGATCTGCACTGTACTCATTTTTGTTTGAGAGACGGCGAGGTGTGAATGACAACGAATCGATGACTGTCTAGATTGTGTAGTATGCTGTGACTGCGCAGGCAGGCAGGCACAGCATGCATGCAGTGTCCAAGCGAGAGGTGTCTGCCCACCAGCTCGGTGACTGGGTGACCAGTCGACACTCCAGTCTTTCCCAGCCAGTCTTGTAGACAACAGTATTCTAGTTATCATGCGCACCTGTCGACCTGTCAAGAAAGTTAGCTAACGACAACGTGGCCACACACATGGTGGTGCAAGTACAATAATTATACATGTACATGTACATGTATACAGAAGGCCGCACCTGGTGTATGTTGACCTTGATTCGGATAGTTCAAGACCGGACTTCTAGGTTCTTCACACTTTTCCCCTTTTACATGTACATGCCCTCAACTAGTAAACACCTCATACCTCCCTTACCACAAGAGTACATAACCGAGGTTAAAACATGTTTTCCATTTCGACAGCATGTAAATGTTACAAGGCGAGGACGCACAGTGCTCTTGACTACAAGTACAACCATAAGGCATACTACTAGTAACCCGGTTGGCAGAGTCCCTGTCTTGCGACCATTTCAACCGTATGGGAAAAACCGGTTCGGATCCTCATTTCTAGGGGGCCGGGGTGGTGGTTGACCTTGGAATTTTTTTCTCGTTTTTTTGCTGATATTCTACGTACCGGTATACATGTACATTGTAGATCTACCATATCGAGGTTATATACTCGGTCATGTACTCTACTGTCTTTCACGTCACTAGTATTATTACACTTCGGAGTTTCGGCTTCGAATGTGTCAGTGTGTGTTTGGCCTCAAATCCCTCTAGTTTTCCATAACTTATTAATAGCACATTTCGCGTAGTAGAGCACTAAATAATGCAGTGTATACACAACAGGTATATACACAACAGGCACACGGAGGTCTTAGAGTTTGTTGCAACTCTGAGTTCCTTACTCAATGAAAATCATCATGTGCTCCACATCGTGTTGAGCCCTCTACCCTGGCGAAAAGACGCCTCTTTGTAAACAAATGTACAGTTATGTATATTGTATAGAAAACTGCTTTCCTAGCGCAGAAGGAAATCAGTGAATATGCGATGTCTTTGTGTTCTCACCGTGGAGGAAGAACTTGATGACTTACATGTACATTCATCCTTGTCTTGCCGTAGACGTCCTGCGCACTCCCAAGGTCGATGACCATGTTGTGCAATAGCTGAGGAAGACATACATACACCTGAGATCTACGGATATCAACTATGTCCAGTTCAAATGACCGTCCAAGCAGCCATTGGCTCCGCATCCTGCGTCATCTCTGCCATCGTTGAGCACCCAAATATGACAATTATGTCACCACCGGTCCCTTCAAGCTGGAGACCCGGTACGGTCACTGACGATGTTGCCAGCCTCATGGAGCCAATGTGCTATTTGGCCATGAAGGACATGTGTCACTCGACCGGCATCCATCCGGCCATCCGGTAGTGGCTGGCGGTACACATGTCTACCGTTCGGCATGTGTTATTCAATCCGCACCTTCACCAAGTGTCTACATCGATCGTCTGCATTCTCCGAACATGGGTTGTGAAGGTGGTGATGTGATTGACAACTGCCTCACTATTGTGAGCGGTCTGGTTGCGGCACACCTTAGTGCAAGCAACGATCCACCTCCTGGAGCATCTCGGGCTCCACGTGAACCTGCACAAGTCCGGCTTGTAGCTGGTGCAGTCCCTGGAATGTATGAGGCTCACCATCTCTTCCATCACCAAGCCACTTGAGGCGCCTGGACGCGAATCGTCCGGACGTGGGAAAGGCGTTACCGCTAGCACAGCTTCACAGTCGATCATTACAGAATATAGTGGTTGCAGGATAGAGCTCCACAGCCTGGGCTGTGCAACCTCGATATTATATGGATTCGATTGACAAGTCTCCATTACTGGGTCCGTCACTTTTCAGTCGGGGATGGCCAGCCACTTCACAGGTGCCATCGCTGTGTATGAGAGCCCGTCAGTTCAGGATCGATGCACAGCAGCCAACCATAGCCACATGACTCTGCTACTGCTTGTGGGCGGAGCATGATTTCTTTGGCCTGACCGCGGCAACAACTGCAAAGCAAAACAAAACAAAAAATTTAAATAAAAAGAAAATGAAACTTTACAATCTGCACACAATGACAACTCCATTTTTTAAGATTGTCTCTGTTGAACAGTCGGTATCCGTTACCCGTGTTAGCTAGTTGCCAACAAGGCGGGCTTCGGCAACAGGAACATCTGGAGAGGCGTCATCCATCCCCCTATGCCAGGGAAAGGGTGAGCGGGCCCTCCGCAGACACACGATATTAGCACGCAATAAAGCAAAGGCCAGACGGCTCCGGATAAGCGAGATATGGGTATGATACCCAACCGATCCACGCTCCTCCATATGGACAGCCAGCCGCCGATAAAACGCAGTAGCAGTACGGCCCATACCACCAGTTGTTGCCAGGACAAGTGGAGTGAAACCCGACATCTCCACCTCTCGCACTCGTTCAGCATAATGGCGTCGCTTCTCAGCTTCGTGCTTGTTGAAAGCAGATTGGATGTGGGCCGACCGGTTCGAAGCTGCATATGGGTTGAATATCCTTACATCAAAAAAGCAGCGTTCAAACCGTCCGCCCCACACCTTGCCTGTCACAATGTCAAGCCGTGCCTGGTCAGTTGATATTGCCGTCCGATGGCGAAACCGCTCACCCGTGACCGGCTGAAGATGAGGCTCCACCGCAACGTTATTTGCCACTCTCCGGAGCATGCTGGCGGTGACGTCACGTACCTCATTGTGGCGCAATGTTGGAAAGCCACCCTTTGGGCAAGACAAGGCGTGGCAGAGATCGAAACTGGCCCCACAGGCACAGCTACTGGGAAGACCAGGCAATGGCCAGCCACACCGAAGGGCAATGCCGTTCCGGAACTCACCCTTGGCCAGAGCGAATCCGTGGCGCTTCATCGGCCGGCAAGTCAGCCAACTTGACGCTCCTGGCTGGGAGGCCAATGGCCAGAATAGGAGAGTTCTGCCGGTGCCGCCGCAAGGAAATCAAGCACTTTGCTCTTCATAGAACGTCTGTTCGCTGCCGACAACTTGCGCTTCGCGGAACGAACACAGTCCAACGAGTCGCCAAGGGGAGCCTGAGAATAGATGCGTTCCACCAGAGGCGCTGTAATGGTCTTTGAAGTTGTGTACTGGTGGTTTAGAGTGGTGGGGACTACAATGCCCAAGCCACCATGGCGGCAAGGAAAGGAAACCATTTCTCTCTCCATTTCATTAGGGTGGTATCCAGTCACCATTGGGAGGAGCTTGTGATGAATAGCCTCCTCCAACGGCTTGAGGGCTTCTGCAGCACCCTCCACCGTCCGGCAGAGAAACGTCCATTTACTCTGCAGCCCATTCACCAAAGCATGGTAGGCTGCCTGCGGCTGCGATTCAGCAAACTCACACAACTTGTTCACCTGCCCGAGGAATCCACTCACTCTGTCAGCCAGGTATTCCTCGACGAACGGAGCAGTGCCGAGGGCTGCGCCAAGATGACGACAGCCATCCGGCATAATGGGAGTACCTTTGCATGTCGAGATTGATAATGTGCCGGCTGTTGCTTCCATATCCAAGGAAGGTAACATTGGCTAGCTACATGTATGTGTTTGTTGGCGCGAGTACATAACTATTACTATTGGCGCGACCCCGCTGGCTCCACCTAGTCGTCATCAATGTTCTGGACATCGCCTAAGACCCGAACGACCTACACTGCAGGTCCTTACCCCATTGGCACAGCCCACTTGACTTATTTGTGATCAGGCGTAACCGCTAACTGGACCAGTATGTGAGTTAGCGCTCAGATCCTGAGGCAGAGGGACATGCAGGTGTCCTTGGTCCTTCCTGCAGACCAGACCAGTGGGAGAATGCACTTCTGCACCCTTCATTCTGCCTCATCATATGCTGCCTGATGGTTAGCGCCATTCACCACGTATAGCGAGTGCTCCTGGTGGCTCTGGTCTGGAGTTCATCGTAGTCGGATCAACTACTTAGCCACCCGGTGTGATGTAGGGAGGCAGTATAGACCAATTACCAATGCATCTTTCTCCTCTCTCGTCGACACTCCAGCTACGTGTCCAGGGCCTCTTGGACTATTGGTCAGGCTGATGCAGCGGCCACTCATTTGATGCCCGACGTATATTTTCTGCTCGCCTGCCAGCACATGGAGTGTCGTCAATGTTCTGGAGGTTCTGCAGGCTTCGGGACTCAATCCCAATTGCCTCGGAAACGTCTGCCACCGCACGTTACCGTGCAGATGGCTTTGACTCAGGCTCACCGTTCATCTCGGAGCTTCGTAGTCTGTCCATATTCAACTGCCATCAACTCCCGAAGGTACGTGCTGTGTTCGACTTTGGCTCCGTAAGCAAGACAAATGTCTAGGGTTCCAGATCTCAGACCTTCCTGGTTCCCTGGTTTGCAAGGAAAAAATTTCTTTGTCCACATTCCTGTCTCGAGGAGCACATTCAGTACTTCGACACAGCCTCGCCATAGTGTCGCAGTATTATGTTCTGTGTCCTGTGCAAGTTATTTTTACTCGACTATCCCCCTTTTCTCCCTTCATTTCTCCGACTTGAAGGACACCTGTACATATGGTGTATCTTAGTTACACGGTCATGACTGTACTGTATATCAGGCACTCTGCGAGATGCCAGTTCCTTCCCTTCACATCCGCGATTCTCCTTCGCGCATCACGCTTGGCTACGCCCTTGGTTGAGGTGGTGGATCACTTTAAAAGTCACACTGTCACATTCCAAGCCGAAGCTCCGAATAGATGATATGCCAAATAAGCGCTCGAAAAGTTGAGAGGGCATGCGATTGATGCGCCCAGGCTTAGCTTGTCAAGTGCACGGGATGTGCAAAGTACACGGATTTTAGGCTTGTTGCGCGCTTACGCGATCAGGTGCTGCACGTGCATGAATGGAATGCATGCAGTTCCACTGTTACTGCATTTTAGCATTCCGTCGGAGAAAAATTTCGGATGAAGAAAAGGAACTCTGACACCTTTGTGCATAGTTTGCTTTCAATTTTTCATTTTGATACCCAGATATGGCAGCAAGAAATAGTACACCAGCCATAGCTTCTCGTTTTGCGAACCCACCTGTCGGCGAAACGATTGCTAGATGGACTTTTGCTCAGCTGAAGACGTACATGTACGTGAGGGAGAGATACCGGTAGATGGAAAGCGAGATGATTTGTTGCAGAGGTAAGACCGAAAGATTTATTTTATTCCCAACGCCCCAGAGCTTAGGACGGGGGACAATGATGGCAGTCGGCTCCGAGCAGCGAAAGGGCGATGAAAATCCGTTCCTCCTTCACTGGTCGCTACAGCAGCGAATACCTTGACACCATCTGCATCGGGAACAGAAGAAGCTGCTTCTCCGCTGAATCCATCAAATCATAGATGCTGCTCTACAAACAGACGCAGAATTTCCCCGAGGCCTGGAGCCATCGCTAGGAGGATTTGCTAAGTGGTGTTTCTGCTAGTGCTGTACTCCAGCATCTTCAGAATCGAGAAAGGTACCTAACGCCGGACACAGAAACCATTCGGGGATGAGTCCTTCTTCTCGCCATTCGTTTACAGTGTTGAGTGTTGCTTCCCAGAGCCAAAGAATTCTGGACCGCAGAGATACTTTGTCAAGGCTAAGTGTTGGGCAGCTCAAAAGAAGAAGGAGAGCTAAGTGTGTGCTACAGTGCTAAAAGAAAAGCATGTACTCGAAGTGATGTCTGCATATTGCACTTGCACTGCAGCATTGCATGCTCCTTCCACCACATTGTTGCATTGCTGCTGACCATCAACTATTGTGAGATGAAAGGTCAATACCGGGCATATGCAACCTAGCAACAACAGCAATGGGGCACAAGGGCCAAGGAACGTACTTGCGAAAACCCTTATCAACCACCTGGGCATACTGACACTGGATTCCGCTAGGACCCGCAGGGTCCGACGTGGAATCGGGGTTACACGAGGAATGAAGGTGAAGAATGTGACAGTGCGTTCCCGCCTGTTGTGCTGGTGTCACCCACCCCTCACTGTCATCACTCTTGATTATTTGCACTATAATTTTGGTCGCTCAGAAAAGGCCAAAGAAAGTAAGAGGTGCTAGGTGTGGGAAGGCGTGCATTTGCATTTTAATCTTTAAACCGCTGGGAATTTATGGAAAACTAGAGCGATTTGAGGCCAAACACACACTGTCACATTCTTCGCCTTCACTCCTCGTGTAACCCCGATTACTGTAAAAGCAGAAATTTTCGGCGGTGTTTTATTTTCGGTAACTTCGGTGCCGACAAGTTTTACCGAAAATAAAACGCACCGCAATTTTCGGTACAACCGATACTGTATACATGTAGTACTAGCAGTACACTTACCTGGAGAACGGGTTTTACCGAAAATTTCCCTCTACCGAACCGCCGATTTTGGCGAATACCGAAAATATTACACCACCGAAAATTTCTGCTTTTATAGTATAGTCTTTTGGACGCTGAGTCGACTGGTTTTTTTCCGAAAAGGCTGCGATGCAGCGTTCCTCCTTTATTCCCAATCGAACATGGTTGAACAAGTGGTCACGTGCTCCTGGGTGCCCAAATCACCTGGTCACCACTAGGCCCCCGTGTAATATGCCGGCATTTTTTTTAGCATTTTCGGTACAATCCGCGAACCCAGCACTTTGGGCTCGTGATGCAGCATTTTGGGGGAAACGGAGCACTTGGCCGTTGTGTATCAAAATAATAATTGAGAGAAGAAAAACTTCCCAAACAAGAACGTCACTTCCGCATTCCGTGGGTTAGCTTCTTGTTGAGTAGTTTATGAATTGAAAATAATGGTTTTGACCAGGGAGTCGTATAATACCGCTATTTTCTGACTCCCTGGTTTTGAGTCTTTTGACGGCGTGTGCTGAGGATTACAAATAAGTGAGCATTTTCGGAGCATTTTCGGCAAGGTTTGGGAGCATTTTCGGCAAGGTTTACGAGAATTTCCCAAAAGCATTTTCGGCAAAGTTTCGGGCATATTACACCGGGGCCTAGTCACCACGCTGCGCCAGCAGGCGACAACTAACTGTTACTTTCACACCAAGGTTCAACTCGAGTGACAGGAGTGCACCCAAAAAAGGTCAAACAGGCTAGTAAGTTGTACCCTGCAGGCACGGTGACCAGCTGACTGGTGTACGCAGGAGCACGTGACCGCTTCTTCAACCATGTTCGATTGGGAATAAAGGAGGAACGCTGCATCGCAGCCTTTTCGGACCAAAACCAGTCGACTCAGCGTCCAAAAGACTACAACATATGGGCCAATCGCGGTCATCCGTGCTTTTATAAGAACGAAATGGCGCTTTTAGTGACATTTTGCATACAAATCCCCATCTAGTAGGGCGCAGTCACCCAGTTTCGGTGGAAGTGCGCGAGTTCGATTGGGATTCAAGTAGGAAGGGAGCGTCTCAGCTTTCTCGGACCAAGACCATTCGACTCAGCACCCCGAAGACTACAACTGGTGAAATTTTAATTGTTGCCTTAACTTCCCCTTTAACCGGTTACCGTTTTCACACCACAAGTACTCGTATCCACACACTCCAAACTATCCACTACTTACCCTGTGGTGAGACAATCTCACACTTCTCACCTCATCGGGGGGGATTCCCCTCTCCCTCTAGCAATCATGGTATCTGGTAGTGCAGTGCCTGAGGATCTTGGTCACATTACCGGTATATCTACAACTTCAAACCCATACACAAATTCTGTTCACACCAATCCAATACACAAGCATAGGAACGCTAGATGGCAGCCACAGCTGCCCGATGATTTTCTTTTCACCTTAAAACTTAAAAAAACAGCAGCAGCATTCGTCAAGTCGTCCACATTCTTGTGGAAACACCCTGCTACCATAAATTGTACATGATTTAGTGCTCTGTGTAGATAGAGAACTAGGAGGATATGATTGGTACTATAGATATACATGATACTAGTAGGCGTTCTGTAGATCTACTATCAGCAGTAGGTCTGTGATAAAGCTGTGCTGTGCAATAACTCAACAGGTACACGATGCAGATCAATTGTTACGGATAGGGCCGGTCTCGAAGGTAAGCATCTCACTAGCGCGGGAGAATTCTCATGATGTCATTCTCTCTCTCTCTCTCTCTCTCTCTCTCTCTCTCTCTCTCTCTCTCTCTCTCTCTCTCTCTCTCTCTCTCTCTCTCTCTCTCTCTCTCTCTCTCTCTCTCTCTCTCTCTCTCTCTCTCTCTCTCTCTCTCTCTCTCTCTCTCTCTCTCTCTCTCTCTCTCTCTCTCTCTCTCTCTCTCTCTCTCTCTCTCTCTCTCTCTCTCTCTCTCTCTCTCTCTCTCTCTCTGTGCATGTGCACGTGTGTTTGTGTCTGTGTGTGTGTGTGTGCGCGCGCACGTGTGCGTGCATGTGTGTGCGTGCGTGTGCATGTGTGCACATATACGCAAGCGTTCTCACTTAGAATAGCACAGAACAAATATAGTAAGATCAACATACTCTGTACACTAGACACTAGACACTAGACAGGGCACACATCATACAGTAATACAGTCATACTCTCAATGTGATGAATGGCAACGGCAACGGCAGGGATACTACCCATGATGAGGTGCTGCAGTGCGCGATCGATTGGATTCAAAAGTTGACATGTGGCCGGCTGGATATGCTCGGTGCCTGGACTGGTGCAGCAGATACATAGACTTCACCGGACAATCCCGTGTGCACACACTCTCTCAGCACTGTTGTATGTGTACTTAGAAGCACCCAGCCCAC